AAACCAAAAATAATTAGGTTCAGATTACCATAAATATGTTGATTATTTATGGTCATGTTACATGTATTAATTATATTTTAATATCATTCCTTATATCATTCCTTACTAGTGCGGTACCCGTGCGATGCACGGGGTAGTTTTATTAAGGTAAGCATTTAAATTTGGATGATTGGAATAACGTATAACTCATATTGGAATAAAACAAAATGTAACTTATATATTATTAAACACATCATTGTACACATCATTATTTGTTTGGTCTTTTGGTACATCGTCTATCGCATTGCATAGGCAAATATAACAGAGATTGTAAAACGTCTTTCTTGATAATCTATAATCTTATTGTTTTAAAATTATAAATTACTTAATTTAAGGGAAGAAAAAATTGTGTAAGTGTACGCAATCAATTTCAAATTTTTGTTCCGTTGGATTAAACAAACCCAAACTTTAAGATGTTCCAGTCTGATTTCATTTTGAATTTCAAATTAATATTATTTGACTCCGCTTTATGTTTAAAAATAATCTGAACTAAAGAAAGTAGTAGCCAAATGATAAGGATTTTTTAAATTTTATTTTTTAATTTGAAATTGTGTCCTATTTCTATATAATCTCTCTTTTATTTTTTTAATAAACATGATTTGTTGCAATTAGGTAAATATACATGTTATAGAATTTTTCCTAATTCAAAATTCTCGATTGTAGGAAAACAAATTTTTTTAATAAAAATTGAGAGAATTTTGAGTTTTACAAAATTGTCATTTCGAATTATACCTCAGTTAACCCGATTTCTATGCAATTCAATTTTATAAACAATTGATGTGTTGCAATTAAGAAAAAATATATATGATAGCATTTTGCCTAATTCAAAATTATTAATTTTATGGTAATCAGTTTTTTTTAACAAAAAATGAGAAAGAATTTTGACATTTGCAAAATTGTATCAGTCAAAATTTACCTAAATTAAATCCACAAAACCCATGAATTTAGGATGCATATATAACATATCGATATTTTGAGAATAATTTAAAATCAAATTAAAAAACTGTCAAAAATATAATTTAATAAATGTTGGTTGACTCTTTTGTTATTATTTTTGGTAAATAAAATTTCTCTATATATCTATATAAGATAATAATCACATTTATTTAATCCAACAATATATTGAGCCCTCCAAAATACTTCATAATCAGTTCAAAGTTAAATAAATACGTTTGATATGTGAAACGAATTATGTGGACACTTGAATTAAATAAATACGTTTGATATGCAATCAGATAATTTTAAATCAATTCAAATCAGTTCAAAATTTTCAAAATTTGTCCGAACAAAACAAAATCATTTTTATGGTAAAATGCTTTTAACAAATAAACAATTAACAAACTAATTTTGATATGCAATCAGTTCCGTGATTAAAGGGTTATTAATTAAAGTAACAAAAAAAATTATTGCCGTTAATAATAACTAATTAATGTGTCCGAATTTGACCAGAAATTTGACTTGTATTCTTAAAAAATAGTAAATTCGTTTATATATATAGATATATATATATATATATTTAGTAAAAAATATTGGTAAATTTAGTTAAGAATAAAAAAAATAATCCACAAATTTAAGGAAACATCATTTTTGAAAAGGTTGATCAATCATAGGGAAAGATCAATATTTTTTTTTTAAAAAAAATTAAAACGAATTTACTTAACAAATAGTAAAATAATAAAATTCAACTATTGAAAAAATTACACGATTTTTCAATTGATTAAAAAAAGAAAATGAAATGTTAGATAAAGCATATATGGTGAACAGATTTTGGAATGAATTTGATTGGTGTAACCCATTCAAATCTCAAATTTTAAAACCAATCTGGCACTTTTTTTGTAACATATTCCTAAATAATTTGGATCAGACTTCAAATTAATTCTTAAATATTTTTTTTTTAAAAAAATCTTAAAATAGAATGTAATAAATGCTTTCCTAAATTTTTGTATTACTATTTTTAGTAAATATTAATTTTATATATATAGATATGTCCATTCCATTATTATAATTCTTTATAATAAATCCAAAAAAATACATTTACTAATGATTTATCCGTCACTTATTAAAGATCCCTAATTTATAGGATTCATGTATGGAATGCACTTCTTTCCTAAATAATTTGGATAAGATTCAAATTAATTTCTAAATAATTTAAAAAAATCTTAAAATAGTATGTAATAAATGCTTTCCTAAATTTTTGGATTACTATTTTTAGTAAATAGTAGTTCTTTTTATATATATAGAGATTATAACTATTGAATTGTATATATATTTTAAAAGTTAATAACTTTTGTATTTTTTTTTATCAATTTTACATATGTAATATATCAAATTAATCTTCTTTTGATGAGCTTAGATTTAACATCCATATTATATGTATAAAAAAAATTATATTTATCTTTATAACAATAATAAAATTATTTTAATATTAATTAGAAAAATAAAATTATTTATCAACTAATATATTTATATTTCAAGTAGTTATATGATATAAGTTATAAAAACTAATATAATATAACAAATGTAAGTCATAAGTAACACATATCATTCTAAAATATATAGTAATATATTTTTTTTTGTAAAAAAGTAAACTAAATTTAATATAATTTTCTCATTAATTTTAAAATTTAAGAATAATTTTTTAACAAGCACCCGTGTAATACACGGGTATTGTACTAGTTATATAATGGATTTCATAAGATAAATCTTTCTAATTGATGAATAATAATTCTATGATATGTTAGATAAGAACAATAAATAGGTTAATATTTGTTTACACAACTATATATATATATATATATTTATGTGCAATATGGTCGTCAAATCAGACGTCATTAAATGTAGTTAATTTAATATATCATATATAAAATCTGAAAAAATTAACAAGTTATAATATTTTAATATAATTATAATATGTATAATATAAGTAGAGCAGATATTTTATAATTATAAAAAATCTTACACGCATGTACAAATTTATATGTATTACACGAAACACAAAAAAAAGCGACATATTATTACGAACAAATATATATGCGTGTGCGCGTGCGAATAGAGAGAGAGAGAGAGAGAGAG